AAAAATATATGACAATCTAATGCTTAAACAAAATTATTTTAAATCTTAAGTGACACACTATAATTTTAAATTGTTTGCATTTAAAAGTCCACACTTACAACTTACAATCATGTTAAGTGTTAAGTACCGTAGTAAATCGTTTAAGTGAAAAAATTAAGCCCGTTAAATTTTTTAATATCAAATCAATGTTTATTTATTATTGGAAGAATACTTGTTAAATGAAACCAAAAATAAATTTTGAACAAACATGATCATTTAATAGCTAAATATAATTGTAATTAGAAATGAAAAATTAAGTTTGCATATTCATATTCTGTTACCGTTAGACTGCAAAGTAATAACATTTAAAAATAAGTTCAAAGTGCAATGAAATGTTAATCACTTGAATTTATATGTACATTTTTGTTACACAATAATGAATCAAATATAATTTTTAACATAATAATTATTAATTTTATTAGGTATTTAATTTTGTTGATAAGGTTGCATGTCTCCAATGACTGCAAATTTACAACATTCAAATAATTAAATGAAAATAACTATTTAAATTTTTTAACCATTACTGTGTCAGATAAAAAAAAATGATGTTCATAATAATAATTAACTGAAATTCAAAACAGTCATAAACATACATTTATGCATACATTAGATGTAGTTCCATGTAGAATATATATATGCTTTTACCAAATTTCTAAATTATTTTTACCTACATTTTCAATGGAAACTAAATTAAAGTGACTATAAACAAATTAAATTAGCATTACTGACATTGATTACGCAGGTCATGGTAAGCTATTGCTAGATTATTATGGAAACTATGGGGAAGCTATACGAAAGCAACAGGATCAATTCATAATAATAATTCATGTATATTTTTAAAAAATGCTATGCAACAAACAGGAACAAATGACTAGCTTGTCAACATTTTTAGGATCAACTTGAAGTTCTGTTTTCATGAATCACCATTTTGCAACAAGTTGGTCAAATGCACATTCCACTGTTCTTTTGGCCCCACTATGTGCTGTAGTGGTAAACTTCAATTTCTCGTGATACAGTATTACCACTGGTGGTGTATGGTCGCATCAGAAAATTCTTCAGAGGATAACCTTGGTTACCAAGAAAAATATTTGAGAGGTGTATTTGATCCAAGTTATCTGTCTTGTTTGGGGAAAGAGCCCGTTTCTATGTGGTTGTATAGATTTGATTCAACAAAAATACCACAGTCACTCTGCTTGCCATATGCCCCACAGTCAACACTAAAAATACTTTGCATCAACAAAGCTGACCACATAGGACATAATAGTGTTGATAATTAAAATATTTAATATTTGACATTTAAAGCGGGCATGCTTGCTGACAATACAATAATACTACCAACACAGTTATGAAAATTCAATATCCTTTCGACGTCATTAGCAGTCTTTTCCATTAATTCTATGGTGGGAAGAGCCATATGCTTCTCAACAAAACACTCCCAAATTCAAATAGCATCACGGGTCTCATTAATAATAACCGATATTGATATTGTGCAGGGGGCTGTCTGATAGGAAAATGCAAGAAATTTTTATCCTAATCCCGTAATGTGTAGTCAAAAGTTTGATGGTTCATTCTGAAATAATCAAGAAAACTTTTCTGGTAGCTCCAGCAGCCTTGGAAACAAGGTATGGAATTCTCCACACCCTTATCTCTCTGCAAAAATTAGTCATTAATAATTTAAAAAATGGATTCTCCATCAATAAGACATGTTCTTCCATTCCACTTTTGTTTTTAAATGTAAAATACAATATCAATAAGCTCATTAAAAATCTATGTTTATTTTAATATTTGTTAGCTCTATCAGAAAGACAGCTAAATCAAGGCCGTAGTTATGATAAACAATAAAGATTCGGATGCGATCGGTTGCAATGAATTCTCAATTTCTATAATAAATAATGTCCGACGTGCAGTTCTACCGAATGACCGATCTTGTCGTCAGTCTTGGATTTCACCGAAATCCGGACCTAGTGTGGGCTAACCCTTAGTCAAAACGACTGGAAATAGACCAGGCTGCACTAGTTAACCAGCACTGTTTTTTGTTTTTTTTCACTTTGCTCTTAACACATTCCACATCGCATGAGTTGGAATTTTCACTGTGATTGTGTTAGTGTCATACCACCTATGGGACTCAATCTCCAAATTTGATTTCAGAGTTTGCCTTCTTTAGATGAGCCGTCATTCAAAGTTAATGACTACCATCCACACGGGGTGCTGGTGTTATTTTTGCATTGTATAGGCCTAGGCTTTGCTGGGGATTGAGCTCTGGTCCACAAGCTTGGGTTTTACTTGGTTTAGACTGTTTGACCACCCAGCACTCTAGAATCAGACGCCCCCCCCCCACACACACACACACTTTTATGTTTGGAAACAACTTTACTTTTATTTTGGTTTATCCTTGTGATTTTAATTTTGATCACGATGTTCGAAAAAAAAAATATTTCCACCCACCCCGAAAGGAAAGCAAAGGACCGTGATGAATAGAAAATTATTGTGGACGGCATATGCCTCTGGAGGGGTAAAAATTAAAAAGGCATACGAAAACTCCCCAAACTGTATTTTTTTTACCCTTAAAATTTTACAAGAGTCATAAGAGTCTTTGCTTTTCAAATTACTACAGTTTTCCCAGGCATTATATTTTAGTATTGAAGACTGAAGATCCCAATTGACAATTTAAGGTATATATCGCTTGATATAAAAATGATAGCTTCTCAAAATGTTGCACACCCTTATGTTCCTCTTGCCATCCAAAGCCTGCCGATGGAATTAAATTAGATCTTTAAAAAATATGTACAGTTATTGTTTTCTTTTCATTATAGATATTAAATAAAGTTCATTTAATGTACTTTAAATCTTTTAAATTTCACTATAAATACAATTAAATACAAAAAGATATTTTAACTATACATACCCGGTTCCCGTATGTTATTTGTTCTGTGAATGTTATTATGATTCTTTTTGTGAGCGTATTTTAATTTGTATTTTAGAATATTTGTTGTTTATGATTTGAGAGTGAATAGTATTTCTCATGGATAGCTGTGGTTGGTTGAAGTTTGAATGTCAATAAATATGCTACAATTTTCATGTTAAAAGCACGTGGATATTTCAGGAGTGTGATTTTTATTCTGACAGTGGCAGGAGCGTTAGTTGTCAGTGACGTCAGAGAGTTTAACTGTCATCAAGTTGCTGGGTTTTCTTTGGACTGCATACTTCATGAATAAACAAGAAAATTTGAGTGTGTCTGAAATTTTCATAATTAATATATCATGTGTGGACAGCAAGTGGCAGAAATATCCCCATAGCAAAATTGAACCATCAAACTTCCTTCCAGAATACAGGAGTTCTTAACACCATATTTTGAAATAAGAAGTAGAAAATGTGCTGAAATTTGGTATTTAAGTGTGTTGCCAAACTTATGTCCCATTATGTGTGTATTCCACCAAATTTCAGACTTTTGAGTTAAGTAATGCCCTGGAGAAAATTTGTCTCAAAGATGCCAAAATCATTAATCCACAACAAAATGCTATCTTAAAGTGTAATAAAAGGTTTCAATAACGAGGGTTTTAGATTTTTAATCAGCTTCCATTTATTAGCAACTTTTAAACATTTTCATGTGCATGGAGCAACATAACATAACATACAAGTATCGGTACAGTACATAAGTGCTTTCTTTCCACATAATATATAAGAAATTAGTAAAACAAAGTAAGGTTAAACCTGAAAAAAGGAACGCATCAATACAATGAACATGTCGGCAGGAAGCCTTCATCAGCGAACAAACAGAATAAAATTTAAAAAATAGCAATAAGCTCAGAAGTAGTATCCAAGAGGGCAGCAAATCCCACAATTCATTTGCTGCCCTCTTGGATAATACTTCTCAGCTAAGTGCAATTTTAAAATTTTATTCTGCTTTTTCTGTTTGTTCGCAGATGAAGACTTCCTGCCGACACGTTCGTTTTATTGTTGCGTTCCTTTTTTCAGGTTTAACCTTACTGTGTTTTACTAATTACCTATTGTGCTAACCTGATTGCAGGCTCTCCCCTTATTACCTCACATGATACATACCAGGTAAGTGACATATAAATATAATTAAAAATGTCCATAGGAGACATTAAGAACATGGAAGAACTTATGGCTACTGCCTCCCTGTTAATTAAGTATATCCAACAAAACTGAACCATAGAATATATTATTTAAGTTATAAAAAAAAAGAAAAAAAAAACTGTCTTAATGAATGCTTAAAAAGATAAAAACCTTAAATACACAGCAGTTTTAATTGTAATTACACATAATAAAAAATACCAAGAGATTTTAAAATGGAAACAATAAAGCATTAAAAATATATTCCTTGAATTACAAGAAGAGAAGTCAGTAACATACTATTATTTTTTTAACTTAAGTTGCACAATAAATTAAATCTCTAAAAAGTGGAGGTCGATTTTCAGAAAGCCAATTATCCAAAACAAAGGTTATCCGAGAACTGCCCCATCTTTTTTTGCAGAATAAAATAATAATTCCAGTCCTCAACAGTTTTTGATATCATCAGCGGACCCAATATATTGTTGATGATTACTGTCCAAATACACTGTCCAGTAAGTAGCATTCATGTATAAGGTAAGAATGTATTGTATGAAATAAATTTGTTAACTGAACATTTCTGAGGGATTATTAGATGATCCAAAACACCCCTGGTACCAATTAGTTCAGAAAATCTGCACTGCTGTATTCTTCTTTGTAATCATAAATGATTTTTAAAATATTAAAATGTGAACAATGAACAATATTTAACTTTGCTTCATTAAATTATTTATTGTATATATTTTATTTAAATTATATGATTGCACTAACAATAGCAAAAAAAAAGCAAGTAAAAAGGAACCATCAAATTACATAAACCAACATCAATTAACATTTTATATTTAAAATAATGTAAATCATGTAAAATAATTATCACATTATTATTAAATGCTCTGAACTAATAAAGAATAAAAAAATAATTTTGTAAGCCCCCAATATCGGTATAAAATAACAGTGGCATTTCTGATTTTAACTCTGAATAACATTTTAATTGTATTTCATAAATGTGAAAGTAAAAGAAAATAACCATTGGTCCAAAATCTACAGATTTTCTTTATCACTATCACTTTCTTCTCTAGATGTTAAAAGTGTGCTCTTTGTTTTCAGATCTTTAACATTCCAGAATTTCACAAATTTATTCTTTCTTTTATGTTTAAAAAGCAATCTGATTCCAATTAACAATAGTAAACCCAAAGAAAGTCCACACAATATGACAATCATATTATAATAGGTGAAAAATACAGCCACATTAGTGCTAATGATATCAGGTTGGCTTTTTTTATTGTCTAGATTTTCTTCTTCTAATTTAGATAAGTTAACATAACTGTCTGACTCATCTTGCAACGAAACGTTTCTTTCCTTTATGATCCATATGCTGTCTAAGGAAGTATGATTATTAATAGACCGTTGTTCCCAAAAAATATGTGTTAAATTTACAACCCGTAAACAACCATAACTATTTAGAGACTTGTTATCTAACCGATAAGCCGACCAGTCAGCTGCAAAAGAAATAAAACAAAAACTTTATATAAGGAAAAGAAAACAATAATGTGAGTTAAATTAATGGTTTAAAATGTTAGAAAATAATTGTCAAGATTTAAAATTTTTGCCCAAAGATTTTTATTTATCTCAAATAATAAATATTGTTTTAATCCACATGGGGTTCTGATGTTTACTTACGCTGATTATAAGGCAAAAAGTGATCTGTTCCTTCTATGCTACCAGCTGCTCCAGTGATAATTTGCACTGGTACATCAGGATTAATGTATGAGAAATTTGAAACTTTCCCATGGTACAATGGCCATAGACGCTCATAATTATGTTCATGGGCTTGAATTATTAAATCAACTGACCAGTTGGTAAACAACTCTTCTAATCTGAATTAAATGAAGATAAAATGAAATAAATAGAATTTCAAATTTTAAAAAAAATTATTTAAAATTACTTCATTGAAAATGAGGAGTTTGTTGTCTAAAATATTTGACCAAAAAAAAAAGTGTGACTGTCAATGCAATGTTCAAAATTAAAATTGATTATACTTTATTTTCCAATAGATTAGGAGGAATATAAATTAAAATCTCTCAGCTGCTCAGTTACAGAGTCCTCCCTTATTTAATGAGCTCCGATATTATTTTAGTTATTATGCATTAGATTCCTTTATCTGAATTAGTATAGTAACATTAGATAAAATAGTTACATTAAAAATATCTGATACAAATCTACTTTGAAATTACTGAACACTTGACAAAATATCAATTTTCATACATAAACACAATTTTTTAAGTAGGTAAGTAAGATGAACCAAATTATTTTAATTAAAAACATTTTTAAAAATAGAGTAGCATCATTTTATTACAATCCAATAAAAACATATTTACTTTCAAATTTCCTAGAGTGTTTTGTATGCAGAATTGAGCATGCAGCCAAAGAAAAATGAAAGGGTACATTTGTTATACCTCCTTGTTTCCATGCGCTAAACAGAAAATGATATAGATCATAAAGCGTTAATACCAGTATAAGAAAACAATTACCCTTCACGAACTCTGGAATCAATTCGAGAGCAATCATCGCCAATATTAGTACTGCAATACATTGGTCTATGTCCAAATGCAACAATCCAAGGTGTTGTCTCTCTTTTGGTATTTGCTTTTTTTAAATCTTCATTAAGCCAGTCTTTTTGTTTCTGTACACTTACTCCATTGTTGGTAAAGAATACCTCTGTAGAATAACTGAAATGATCAGATATTGTGGGAATTAATAAATTAAAAAACCCAGAAGAACTCTGAAACACTTTTCCCCTTTCATTATTTTTTTTCTCAGTGATAAGATCATAGTGATGTAAACAAATATCTAACATACATATTCTGGAAGGGACTGAGCTTTTGCACTTTATGGCTACTGCTACTACATTTGTAACCAGCTCCATCTGCTTGGCTGTGACATGCACCATTTTATTAACATTGGACTCATCAAGTTCCAGTTTATGGCACAAAGTTAACAGGTGTACAATTGTTTCTAGAGCCAATGTGCAATTCGAGCAGTTAAAGTCCCTGTTGTTGTCTAGCTTGCTGAAGTAGGAGTTTTTTAGGCAGTGTTCCGTTATCATCTGAGTGTTGTGAACTAGATTGTTGTGAATGTTGGGTAGGGGGAGTTGTTGATCGTGAGACTGTTTTGTGAGTTGTAAGTCGTGAGGTCAGAGCGTGAGATTGGTTCTTGTTATTGAGTTGTGCATGCTGAGTTGTTTGGGTGGTGATATAAAAGGGCTGTGTGTTAGTAAGTCAGGTAGTCAAGAAGTAGTTGGTAGTAGTGGTGCTAGAAGAGAGAGACACGTTAGTCGAGAGCTGATGTGTGAGAGCCCAGAGAGAGACAAATTGAGAGTTAGTATTATCGCTGTTGAACGTTGTCACTGTGAATTGATATTGGATCCTGTAAATAAAGAACTGTTGTATTTCCATGCTGGAGTTTTGATATATATATAGATATTAAGAAACTGTTGTAAACCCCTAGACAACATGGAGTCTGCTGACTGTGAAGTAAACGTAACTACTGCGGGATGTGTTGAAGTGTCAGGACGAAGATCCTAACATGTCAAGTATTGAGAAGGCCGTGACTAGACCAACGTAAGAAGGCCGCAACATTTTATGGAGGCAGCGACTTAATAAAGAAAGGTCGTGACACTGAGTTACACAGTCAGGTGTTGGCATTTTAGCTTCCACCACGGATTAGACTTGCTTGGATGGGGCATGTTAGAGCGACACTTCTGGCCTTTGTGCTGCCTGTCCATTGACTGAACCACCAAGAAAGGTGACCGATTTCATTGTTTGTGGGTGTGCATATGATAAAAAAAGTGATTGTACTGAACAAATTGATTAAAAACATGGAGTGTTGCAAAATTTTAATTCTTAATGTATTTGTATTTGATTACAAATAATGAGCAAATTTTTATTTGTTTGTTTTACTTTATTTAGATCTCAAATTAGTCCACCAAATATCTTATTTGTAAATACCAGTAGCAGTATTTAAAATTTGCAACTTTTATTTATCGCAGAATCAATATGTTTTTGATTTACAACTAGCATGTTGATTTTAAGGCTTCTAAAAACTTTGCTACTTTTGTAGGAAAAACAAATGAAGTCAAGGGCATAAAAAAGCTTAGAGAGATTAATTTCATAAATAGAGATAACAGTTTACCAAAATTGACTTTTAGTTGAATTCAAGTATTATGCAATTTAAAGGTTATCTTATTCACCTAATAAAGTGAACAGGTCCAATGTCCATGCTGTACCACATTTTATCGAATGGAATGGGCCATTCTGAGTCAGGCATTGAGAAACGATGACTGTAGTGAGAAAATCTTCCATAATCGATTTCTGACAATAGAAAAACACAAAAAGGTTAAACATTTTAATATCTTTTTATCGCAGGGCAAAATGGATTTAGCTATATTTTCATTTATATTATCATGAATAGTTTTTAAATTTTAATAATTTTCACAAAAAGGTGATTACCAGTATAATTTATATCTTTTTCAGATAAAAATAATTATCACATTATTAAATATAATTACCATGATTTCCAGGACATGTCATGTATGGAATGTATGCAGCCACAGGCTCAATCAGTTGCATGAAGTAGTCACCAATCTCAAGCAAATGATACATTTTCACATTAATTTTAATTAGGCTCAACTCTTTTGTATTTGTAAATCTGATGGAGCCTAGATTATGATTTTATTTTAGTTACATTTAAATAATTATTGTTACAATGATTTAATGATATTATTAGGCAATTCACTTGTTTTACAAATCAATAAAGAAAAGGGGTGCACTCAAGCTCAAAATTAGAAAAAAATCCTCTTGAAGCAACTAACTGTTATGAAATATGTAATAGAAATGCTTACTTTGTTGCAAAATAATTATAGACTTCAAAATAAATTAAGAAGTAGCAGAATTTTACTTCATTGTTTTAAAACTTTTAATTCATTTTAATTATTTTTACTCTGGTACTCTTTCAAAAATAAAATTATTCAGATGTGACATTAAAAATGTTAAGATATTCAAAAAATACACTTTTATTTATGTATTGAACAATTTATCTTTAACGATTTATACAGGGCACAACAAATGTTTAAATAAGTAAAGGAATGTACAAGATAAATAATGGGCTGGTCCACTGTTCCAGCATTAAACAGAAACTCGTCCCTCTCACCCATAGACAGCGACGAGGCCATGACAGGCAATTCAGGCTCATACCAGCAAGAAGCCAGTATAGGAGCTGCTCATTCCTGCCCAAGACAATCAGGGACTGGAACAATCTTTCAAAAGGAACGGTTGAAGTTGAGGCGACAACACTAAACACATTTGTGTCTATTGCCTCAATCCTTCAAACCCCTAGTGCATGATACCCTCACAAAGTGGGACTGGAAATCAGTGAAATTTCCTCATCAACACCAGGAACAGAAACATTGCAAATCCCATCTACATGCATAGGAGCCAAAATGATCAATAAATTGATCGTGGGCCCTTAAGATATAGAAGACGAAGAATAGAGGATATAGCTAATATAGATCTCAAGAAATAATATAGAGCTCTGAGAAAATGAATTGTACTCACAGCGCCATCATTGCTTTTTAAATCATAGCCAAAGTCACCCACATGGAATAAAGCTGTATAATTGCCAGATAACGCTTCATTTATTAGTGATGGTATTGTGTTTGCATGTATACCCAGATCTCCAAACATCAAAAAATTAGGTGACCAGTTCTGGTTGGGGAATATAGACAAATACATTTTAAAAAAATTAAAAATGTAATATTCAAACTTATAACTCTATTGCTATCCTTGATCATGCTTCTTACATTTGCTCCAAGATTAAAATTACAGCTGTTGGAGTAAAAATTAAAATCCTACTAATTAAAAAATCCATTTTTAAAAATGTAAGAGGTATATTTGCCATTTTCTTCTTCAAAAAGACTAATATTATATGGTGGTTATTAACATACCTTAAGTAGGTACCCATTATCAAAAAGTTTCTCTAACTATACCCCCCCCCCCCTTAATTATAAACACACTAAATTTACCAAATAAATCTTTTTGTTAATATGTTTTAAATGTGGCTTTCACTATTCTCTGCCACTTTACCCTTTGATTGATACAAAAACAGCATTCATTAGAACAGTGGTTCTCAACCTTCATAATGCTGCGACCCTTTATACAGTTCCTCATGTTAGGGCGACCCCCCAACCACAAAATAATTGTCGTTGAAACTTCATAGCTGATGAGAATGTGTGTTTTTCAGATGGTCTTAGGCGACCCCAGGGAAATGGTCACGTGACCCCCAAAGGGGTCGCCACCCACAGGTTGAGAACCGCTGCATTAGAATGAAATAAAGAAATGTTTGGAATAAAGATTTAACTTAAAAATTAATGATTTATAGTATCTAGAAAACTGATCATAGGACTCACATTTCCTTTTATGGGTGTTTGAAAATAAAATGGTCCAGCACTGTTTTCATCATTGACTGGTAAATAATAATACACTGTTTTAGGAGCCAATTGCTGGAAATAAGATTACATTTATTTTTTACCTAATGTTTATTCAAATAAAAATAATTTCCTTAATTATAATGCCATGTTATTAAAAAAAGCAGAATCAACTGTTTCCTCACAATAATCTTAATGTTACCTGCAATTTAACTCTGTACAGATGGTGCATACCGTTCTTATTCTGATCTATGAAATATTTATACTCTGCAAGAATTTTAGTTTCTTGACCCCATGGGTGAGTGCCATATCTAACCTGTTTTAGAAAAAAGGTTAATTTCAAAAGTCAATTTAATGTTGCGTTGCATTGCATTTTCCTAGTTTAGTAAAATTAACTTTTATACAGTTTTTTTTCATGCTGAATTATTATAGGACGAATTTTATTTTAATTTTTTTATTCATTCAGTTAACACTTAAAGAATACAAACTCAAAACGATTAATTTTTATTTCAAGCGTAAATGCTTCCACAAAAAAAAAAAGTTAAATGCAAAAATTATTTGTAAATAACACATCAGAAATTCTGATGAAAGCCTGGTCTAACCTTTTGTAAACATTTCTTTGTCTAATGAGAAATATTTGGATACAAAAATCTTTCTCTCATGTAGACCTGAACACTAGTGCAGTTCAAATTTTTGATATTCTTCATACATGCTGCTCTCATGATACAGCTATTAATTTTACCATAATGGCATGGTAATAAAAAGAAGGTATTGACAAATTTATTTTAAAATTTAAAAGCTGATTTTGTCAAAAGGAAATATCTGGGTCTTGACTATCCCTGTATTTAATGGCATTACATAAATTATTTTACCTCACCAACACATTTGCATTCCGTAGACCAAACAATTATCATTTCATTGGTTGTGTCGCCAAATGATAAATGCACATGCTGCGGCCTGCAGCAATTATCTAGGTGAACAGCTGAAATTATAAAACTTGTCATCACATTTGAAATTATTTTTGTTACTGGACCATTATTAAAGGAAATAAATAAATAACATAAATGCAAATTTCATTTTATTATGGCACAGTAATTACAATTAAATGTTTTAATGATGTTTTAGCAGGAATCAGACATTTTTTATTTTATAATTGACTGCTTATTTGTGGTATATATCTATACAAGCACATACAGTATAGAAAATCTAGCTCCGATTTTCAGAGGAGCATTTTCAAAAAGTATTTTTTATTGTTATGAAAAAACTAATATTTGAAATTAGTAAACTACTATATTCATTTTTGTTTTGTTGCTATTCAGAAAAAACTCAGATTTTTTTAAAGAATTCATTTCAAGCCCTTATTAAACACTGAACATGCAAAAGGCTTGTACTGTTTTCAAAACATCTTTTGTTAAGTATCACATGAAACATATTTTAATAATCTACTGAAAATAACCACCTGTAATTTATATTTACTTTTAAATAAACAAGAATTTTAGAATTAAATTTATCATATGTCTTAACTCTCTGGAGACGGAGCCTTTTCGGGGTGTATGTGCCAAAAAGACGGCGCACTTTTTACGAGCTCGATACTCACATTGCAAAAAAATGTATAAAAATAAACTATTCCCTTAACATATGTAAAACTATATATATTCTTGTAGGAAATTGAATGAACTAATACAATATTTATGAATAAAACTGAAATATCAAAATTTATGCAAATGAGCTACCCTTATTTGCATAATTTATGCATATAATTTTTTGTTACACCTAGAATAAACATGACTTACTTGTATCAATTGTGTGAATTGTTTGATGGATGAAGCCTGAATAAGTCCTAATACTTATTTTTTGGGGAAAAAAAGGCCCATGGAGGCCCTTGAGACCCCTCTGGCACATGGTTCTACTCCTTTTCCACCCCACCCCCTATTTTTCAGTTGTTACAGACACACTGTAACAGGCCCCCATTTATGACCTCGGGACCTTCTCTTAAGCTGGATGTTACTGAGAAAGTTGTCTGCATACCTATTGGTCTCTCTCATTAACACTTGAGTGATATTTAGTGTAAAAAATATAATAAAGTACTCAAATGGGATGCTTATGCCTTATTTATATAGGACTTATGTTGTCTAAAGAGGGGTCATATCTGTCCATTTGAGAACCCCTAATACTAGTAATACTAAACCAAAAGTTCACAACATTACCATTACCCTCAATTTAAAAGTCTTTATTTGCTCGTTTTCACCATTTTCAGTGTCAGATTCACTGCAAGAATAAAAAATCACTAAGCACAGTTTGATCAGAGTCACTGTCAGACATGTTTGAATTTCACGATGTAACTATACACAAAAAAAAAAAAAAATTCCTGCTCACTAATATACTGAGTTCACCTTCAACGAACGCCGCCATTACAATGCCTGGATGTGCAGGAATACGTAAGAATAATTTTGATTCTCTGGTACAACGCCATGCCAGCCAATCGTGAGGCTCGGTTTGTCGGGCCGATAGTTCAGACTTATGTCTTTCTCGTCGCTAGTCAACCTTGGGCCGATAGATCGGCCCTTACGTCTCCCGAGGGTTAATATCTAAAAATAAGTTTTTGCTAATTAATGAATCTAGAAAAGTATTAAATTATGGAAAATGTACTATGCGCAAACAAACAAATATGCAGTTATATCATTAATCTAAAATTTAAAAAATTAGATTTTAAATTGCCTTACATGGAGTTGTATCTTCTCCATCTTCCTTATTAGTGTCCAAAACATGACTGTCATAATCAGGAAAACTCTGAGTCAGTGTTAGTAGGCAGACAAACATGCAATACAACTGGTAGTATAGCATTGTCAAGCATTTAACACACTCTGCATCTGATAGCCATCAACTAGTTGCATGCATAAAACCTATGAAAATGCATTAACTTGATCATAATACATAAACAGTCCACATAAAGATTATTGAAATTTGTAACACTTTAACTTGCATATTAAATTTTATATTAGTAGTTTTTTTAGCAACCTGAAGTATTTAGGGACTATATAATTTAACTCTTTCATTTAAGTATCACAGACCTGTTTACCCTCAAACTCTTAAAATCGTAGAATATCATCACAAAATCGTTCAATACGTTATAATTATAGTAAAAAATTAACAGTATATACAATCTATACGCCTAAAAATTGTACATTGTACGCCAAAATCGTAAGAGTAAACAGGTCTGGTATCAGATTCCTCTGGAATTAATATTGCTTTAAATTCTTTAATAATTTTTATTGTTAAGAAATCAAAAGGATATTTCACAACTGTTTATGCATGTCTTCCCAAATATTTGATGGCTTAACTTCAGTAATTTCTTCTGTGTGAAATTTTGTTATGAATGAAGCTTAGAGTCAGGATTACCAACTGTATGTAAATTTACAGGCCATCATTATAAATTTGACCAAATATGAATTTTCCCTTTAAGTCCATAACAAAATAGGAAATCTAAGCACTAATTTTTGCTTGCTTTAAACTTTTATTACAATTTTGTGAACTACCGGTATTTAAAATATTTATTAGGGCCTCAACAAGTTTATTTTAAAAAATGCATTCTCGAGACTTGAGACCAGGGGTTCTTAACCAGGGGTGTGGGAAGATGCAGAAATTTGTCTGGAAAAAAACATATGAAAATCTAAAATTAAACTAATAAAATATAAAAATGAGAGCTGATTATATTTTTCATTACCTGTAGCTTGAAGCTTATGTATATGTGTCAGACCAACATTAGTTTGCATGTGCATTACCGAAAACATGAAAATGCAGAAAACAAATATGTTTATTTTTCTTAAATTTCTTAAAACTCTACCCTGTCATCTGCAGTATGGATGTCATTTTGGCAGTGTCACATGACCGCCAGAAGAATACTTTATTGAGATATTCGTCCGGCGACAAAGTCACATGACCGCCGTAATAAAGTGGTGTGAGATATTCGTCCGCCAGCCTTGTCATGTGACAGCGAATAATTCAAAACTATTGTTAATTTTAAACTCTATTTCTCTACCATGTAATTTACTGAGTATCTTGCTAACAAATAATATAAAAAAATAATTGGGTATTGGGTATATTAGGAAAACAAAGTGGGGGTCAAGCAAAATGCATTCTAGAAGGAGGCAATGCTAAGAGGGAGAGAGAATTACAGTAATAAAAAATATGAATGCTAAAAAAATAATAGTGAGGGTGATAAATAATTGTGTTTAAGGCGGGGAGGCCGATAGTTCACAAAGAAATAGACCCTACATCTTAATATAGGGTTGATGTAGTGGTAGCCTAGCCTACTTCTCATGCAATACTAAATACCAATCCTGAAATACAACTTTATTGACATAGGTCTATTGAAGTCTACTGGTCTTATTTTATTTGGTTCATATTTTAAATTTAGGCTTCAAGGTAGAGCTTTACAAGTACCAGTACTACTAGTTAGTATATAGGCCGACTAGTTTAATATTCAAAGACAAACACTTTATTTATCTCAGAGCATTTGAATATATTAACATGTTCAGCATTTATTTATTATCTAAGGATCGGAAAATCAAATGCAATGCAACTATTTTGCCGGCGACCACTTATCACATGACCTGCCGGAATAATAACGCCTACTAGTCGTCCGGCGGTCATGTGACCTGCATGTCGGATGTATATCTCCCGCACTATGATGTGTCTGGCGCGCCAGACGTGTAGACACTTCATATCATTTTTTTATTTTAATATATTGTTACAATTTAATGAAAACTGAGACGGTGTGTGCCACTGCAAAAAGGTTAAGAAGACATGCTTAAAAAACAGTTGAACTTCTGTTTATCTACTATAAAATTTAGAACATTTGCTGGCCATTTGAAATAGTTGTATGAAAATTTCATTTTATTATATGGAGTTGGCAACACTTCTTCTATTAGAAGAGTAAAACAAGTATGGCTTTATGAAGTTCATATCGTCATTTTTCATTTATTAATTGATTTTTGAAAACCTGCAAAAATAACAATGAATGAAAAAAAAGCAGCCAGATTTAAATAGTTTATGAAAATTTCATTACATTTTTTTGTTTCATAGCAGGGTGGGCAACTTTTTCTAGGAATCTAATAAGTCTTAGACAATATTGAATAAAACAATGAACACATTTGAACATATTTTAGTAAGCATTTGGATGAAAATTTCAAAACATTTTTAAAGTACAAAATACTGGTAATTTACAGGGACGACTGCCACTATTTTATCGAATTTCACGAATGTATTCCTAAATCGATCCCTATGCCTAACCTGAACCCTAAATCGATCCCGCAACCTAACCTAAACCCTAATTCACTGCAACTATAATTAACACACAAAAGACGCCGTGGCAGCCGTACTTGGATTTAGCCAAACTTTCTAGCTCAAGAGTCCAAGACTCAAGTCGTAAAAGTTATGAAGTTTTCCTCCCCAATTAAGTGTGACCCCCTATTTGGCTTTTGCGTCTATAACTATATTATATAATGTAATGTAACTAGGAGTAGGGCCATAACTTTATTACAAATCTGACTTGCGTTCGATCAATCATCAATTTTAACTTATACTCACTTATAAGTTATTCTTTATAGTATAGTATAGTAACGGTCCGGTTAGTCCGTCCGTTAGAACGGTTAGTATTCGAGGCCCGAGGCTTAAGCCGAGCCTACGCCGCTTACGGCACTACATTTTGCTGGATTAATGTACTTGAATACTATACCTTCAAATTATTCCTTAGAATTGAAAAACAAAGTCGTCGTGGGCCGCTTTATCTGAAATAGCCAAAAATATTTTAAAGTTAATTGTTTGTCCTACCAAAACATGTTTGGCTTAAGTGTATACGCCAAATTAAATAAGGCTAAGGCTAAGGTAGTGGTAATCATAGAGTCCAGCACCCAAATTATATTTATCAATTACTTCTTACCTTACTTGTTTATGTGATAAAGTTAAATTAATGAGCGGGAGACTTGATTTTAATTTTTAGAAAAAAAATAAACGCCTTGTTAATGTTATAATTTAGCCTAGTTTTATTATTAAAATTGAGATAATTGCTTGGAGACCACGCTTACCCCAGGAAATAATAACATTGGGAAAGTTACTGATACTGACAACTCAGCAGATAGCACAGGTGTAGGAGGCTTGGATATTATTATATTATCCTCTTTGACACCAGAAATTTTAACTCAGTGTAAGTGTAACAGAAGATGTGTAGTCTGTCTAAAACAAAACAATTATAGGCATCAAGAAGTAAAGTAAGAAGTAATTGATAAATCTAGATGTAATATGGGGTGCTTAACGCCATGATTACCACAAATACAAAGAGTAGTGCTTTGATATTGATATGAATCGTGAATGTGTCATATTACTATACATATTTATATTTGTAGTGAATTACGTCATGTTATATTAATATTATGATCTGTCTTGTTGGCCACTTACTGTAGTGCAATAAATTCAATAATTAACTTTTTAATATTATTTTTAGGCGGGCGTTAGTAATAGATTAATTATAATAATTACCCCTTACCGGGTATTATTAATATAGCCTACGGCTTATTCTTAACTTATAGTATAGTAATAAATTATTTCTAATGAAAGTGAAATACATAAAAAAATTCCTAGTAACCTGATGGAGCTACATTTATAGTATTTTAAAAGTAAATTACTGTCTTTTTGTTTGAATACATTGACCATTTCATTTAATTTTAACAATACCAATAAAGTAGATTTCATTACATGTCTCATGTCATGAATCTTTTGTCATGATTTTGTTTGTCACTAAAGGCGCCATTTTGGTAAATCTTCAAAGATGCTTATAAAAGTTGCCATGTGCATGTATCTGGATTTAAATACAGTCATACCTCGCCACATCATGCTTCGATTTTTGCTTCTTCACTCTATCGCGGAAGCGATGAGGTGTTCATGGCCTTATAATATTTTTGTTTAGGAAGGTGAGGACATCGACACAGTCACAGCGGGTACCCAGTGGACCGGAATCAGTTTTATGTGGAACTTATGGGCAGATTTATGGAACTTCTGGGTAGATTTCTGTAAATAATGCACGTAATGCTGCATATCCTTTGCGGTGTATGTCTGCTGCGGTGACCAGCCAACTGAACGCAGGACAAGAAATCCCATGACAACTGAAAGTAAGACATCCAAAAACAGGATAAGTGAACCAACGGATAAGTGAAAATGTAGGCAACTGAACCCATGAACAACTGAACACAAAATAAAAATATATGCTCATGCACCTAAGCATGAGGGGCTCCACAACTTTAAGGGGTGCCGTGACCCAATTTGACATCCCTAGGTTTCCAAAGATGGCTGATCTAATTCTAGAATATGTATGGCTGCATGTGGCCAGGCCCCAGGTTGGCCACCCTTGGCATAGTGTACAGTCTAGTAAGAAGGGGAAAGTGCATAAATCAAGGATAAGTTACCCGGTATTCAAACATGTTGTGCATCATTAAAAGATTACTGTACGGGTTAACTGTAACAAAACATTTTAACATATGGAACTGGAACATAGTAATCAAAGTATGCTGTTTCTTTCCATAAAGGACTGGGTCTGCATAGAAAAAGGTGTTCTTGCTTTTGAATATTTGATGTGGTTATTCGTGAGTTGTAAAAAACAAAGTTAATGACTACAAAATAATTTTTTTACAAAAGATTAAGTAGGCCTACATGTCATATCCAGGCATAAAAAAATTACACAACTAAAAATACCGGTATGGTATATATCATTCATCAGAATTGGTATCAGAATAATATGGGGTGTTCAAAATAATGCAACCGAGACACAATCGTTCTCCATGTAACCAAAAAAAATTTTGATTTTTGGACAACCATGGCGCCAAAACAATTTTAAATGCCCTAGTTTTAAATTTGTAAAAATTTTCAACTTTGAAGTTCTAATTGAAGTTTAATGGACCTGTAAAGTTCAAAATAACAGGATTTTCACTGATAACGCACTCATCAAGTATATGTATGTCATAAAATATATTGTCTTGGGCTTTACATTTTGCATTATGGGGATGGGAGGAAAGGCTACAACCAACAACCTTCAGTGTTTACTTGCGGTAAGAGCCACAAGGATTACCACTCTGTGATCAGACTCCTGATGTAGACATGTGCTGTACAAAAAAAACATACATCAAAACAATTGGTATAAATTAAGAAAATGAAATAGAATAAAAAGAATAAAAATTCAATGTAAGTTGTAAGTCTTAGCTCACGTATTATAAGCTTGGTCTATAATTCCAACAATTTGCGATTAATAATACTTCTTACTTCTCAAAATAAAAGTAAAATAAAAATAGCTTGGCCTAACCCATATTTATATACCAGTACAACAGGTAGTTACTTTTTTCTATTTGGAGGAACCAGTCTTTAGGGTGGTCCAAACATAATGTCTCCCTCTGCTTACATGTGCACAATTTTTTGAATATGGGAAGAGAATTACATTTGCAATTGATATACTTAGATAAAGGTCCTATTTATTATTTGGACCCCGAAGTCTAGTCATCAGTATACTTATTACTAGGCCTTCAAATAAAGTCAAGTTAATAACTTAATACAATACTTAACTTATTATTTGCTCCTCAGAGTGATATGTACTGTTGTTAAAATCAAGTACTGGTAGGCATCAAATTAAAAATTTTAAATCAAAAAGAGGTTGAAACTACAAGATTAAAATTGACTATGGCTAACAAGGCTTCACCTGTAATAAAAAGGCTAGATGAAGTTGTGGTCAACAGAATTGCTGCAGGGGAAGTAATTCAAAGACCAGCAAATGCTTTGAAGGAGATGCTAGAAAACTGGTATGTAGAGACAGGTTTTACTAGACTTAGGTACCATATCTGTAATAATTTGTTAGCAACAAGATTTCAGCTATATTTGATGTGCCATTTCAAACAATAGCCCCTGTCAAATTATTTAGTGACAGAACTGTTTAAACATGTGTGTTTGTGCAGTTGTATTTTTGCTTCAATGGAACTACCACTGTAACAAATGTATTTTACATCTACTCTTTTCAGTTTAGACGCAGGAGCCACCAACATTCAAATCACAGTGAAACAAGGGGGACTGAAAATGTTACAAATTCAAGACAATGGGTGTGGAATCAGAGTAGGTTTTCCATGTGTCAGTTCTCCTTAGTTAAATACAGAGGAATAAAATGTGTATTTTTCTTCATGTGTGAGTGTGTAACCTACTCCTATTGTAAGACAAGAAACAAAGTCTTATACTTACATTGCTCAAATGTTTCACTTGAAAAAGGCCTACAGTTCGTATGTTTAAAACCTTTTTCTTTTATCTGGAAATTTAACTTATACTATTTTTTGTCTCTTTTAAATAAAACAGAAAGAAGATATGGAGATTGTGTGTGAAAGATTTACTACTAGTAAACTTCGGCAGTTTGAAGATCTTAATAGCATTAATACTTATGGATTCAGGGGCGAAGCTCTAGCAAGTATTAGTCATGTAGCACATCTAACTATTACAACCAGAACAGCTTCTTCCAAATGTGCCTTTAGGTAAATTTATGTCACACAATTTTAATAATAAATGTTAACTACTTTGCAACACCAAATATCTAAACTGTCTTTGAGCTGGAATTTAATGTATTACCATTGTTTAGAATAAACTTCTGCTGATTGCCTGGTAGAATAATGGTCTGAACAAGAAATGGAAACAGTCTTTTAAGCAAATTATACAATTTATTTAAAATTTGATACATTTCTTTTTCTTAATTCCTGTCTGAAAATTTACTTTTTTGTACCGGTACTCGGAAAAAGATATGCTAAAGATTCTAGTGATTTTAGCACATTATCACCATTTGAGAATAAGTGTTGAAAGAATTTGTTTGAGGTTTTCTTCTTTAAAATTACTTTTATTGTCTTCAGGGGTGTATACTCTGATGGTAAACTGAAAGAGCCAGTAAAACCATGTGCAGGAAACTTGGGAACACAAATAACTGTATGTAATATGCCATGATTGCCTTGATCTTTAATTTATAAAAAAGTTTAAATAAGATTGATCTTATAAAGCTATTGCAAAAGTTTATAATATTAATAATAAGCATTACTTTTAACCCCAACAACAAGCTTATAATTATGTTTGTTAGGTTTTTATTTTAATAATTTAATTGAGCACCGTAAGTGTTTACTTTTGCCATGACACTGTAGGAACATATTTATTATTGTTAAGGAGATTTTCAAATTGTTATATATATTAAAATAATTAAAGATATGAAAATACTTCACTTATTTTGAAGGTAGAGGATTTATTTTACAATATATCCACAAGGCGCAAAGCATTGCGAAGTCCAGCAGAAGAACATGCTAAAGTAGTGGATGTTGTAAGCAAGTTAGTAAATTATTGCTTGAAAGACAAATTAAAAATTTTTAACAATGTTTACTACCCCAACTTCTCAGGAATAGAAATACATTGACATTAAATAATTTAAGAATCATGTTGAATTTTAAAGAAACTGAATGAAGTTTTAATACTCAGAAAATAATAATAATATTTTTAAAAAATTAATTTTTAACATGAACAAGTAATTTTTAACCCTCAAACTGGGGTCGGCTGACAAAATCGGCTGATATTCTCGTTCTGTGCTGTGGCGGCCGAAAAAATTGGCCCATAAAAAACACAGTCCGATAGCAACTTCCAATCCAATATTTAACCGAAATCATAGCCACTTACTTTTATTAATCATAAATCAACTTCAGGGTCAAGCTGTTTCTTGATAACTTAACAATAAGTACTTTTTAATCAGAATTTTATATCACTGTTTTTTTTAAATTTTAATCAAAACCTTAGCAAACTATACATTTTCTGAAGGATAAATAAATTAGCTACAACATTTAGATTTGTGTTTTAAGTGTATCTATAAAAATTAATGATGTTATGAGCACTTGAGAGCAAGACATTTTGTCGATTTTTATTTTTTTGAGCACTCCAATGTCAAGGACACTGAGCAAAAAATTATTTACCGGTTGGGCAATATAGCCAACTTTATCTCCATCCATTTACCTTTCTAAAAATATATGACTATTGGGGTCTTGGATCAATATTTCTATGTCATGTAATGCAATTTCAAAAGGCTCTCAAAAATCTCTGAAAAGCTCCACACCACAGAATGATGCATGCCACAGTTCGAGGGTTAAATGAAAGTTTAAGCTTTAATTTTTAAAAACTATTCCGAAAAAAAAAAAATCACGTCTAATCAGCCTCATTGAAGTTTTAAGAAAGCTGTCATGCCAGCTGAATGGACTCATTTAAATCATTTCTCAAATCTTGTTATGATATCTCTTAATTTCAGATATGCAATTCATAACAGTCAAGTGGCATTTACATTAAAAAAGGTAGACCTATTTTTAGCATTTAATTCCATTTCCACCCAGTCATAGTTATGTACCGGTATCAGATTAAAAATATCTAAAGATTTTATTCTTATAAATAATTGTTCTGCTTTATTCTTCACAATGGTATTTGGCAATGTTCCTTTTAATTATTTTGGGTTATTTGTGAAATAAATTCAGAATTTTCAAAAATGAAATGAAGCAAAATCTATGGATATTCAAATATCAAAATAAATAATATTGCACCTTATTTCTTTATACAAGTCTTAATAACTTAATTTTTTTATCAAAGTGACGTTTGATGCACTGATCTCTTTTTTTTTTTTTTTTTTTAAAAAAAAAAAAAAAAAAAAAAAAAAATTTTTTGGTTAAATTTTAAGATTAAATTTTGCTTAATTCAAAAATTCATATAACTTTTTGGGTGCTATAAATAGTTTGCTGTGTTTACAGGTGATATGGTAAAGCTCATTTTATTTTTATTGAATGCTTAGCCCCTATTAAATTTTTTTTTTTTTTTTTTTTTTTTTTTTTTTTTTACATTATTGGTTAAATTTTAAGACTAAATCTTGCTTAATTCAAAAATGCATATAACTTTATGGGTGCTATAAATAGTGTGCTGTGTTTACAGGTGATATGGTAAAGCTCATTTTATCTTTACTGAATGCTTAGCCCCTATTAAATTTTATTTTTGCGTAATTTCTATCGTTGTAACCAGTAAATATATCATAACACATAACATTATTTTTAAAAACAGCAAGGAGATAGCATTGCTGATGTCAGGACCCCTCCAGCATCAACATATGTTGATAATATACGTGCAATTTATGGTGTAGCTGTCAGTAGGTGAGTCTGGTAAAATTCATATTTACATAGCTCATTTTAATGATTATGGCTCCAATATTCTTTAAAAACTCATCAAAATTAAAATACTTAAATATTTAACTTCTTTGCATAAAAAGTATATAAATTAATTTAAATGTCATTATGAAATGCCTAATTTTAAAACTTTTTTGACAATGCTGTTCATTATCTGACTTTAAAAGATTGCAACAGATTTTTATAACAATTTTTGTAGAGAACTACTAGAAGTGAATCATGAAGATTCTAAATTGGGTTTCACAATGCACGCCTTCATTAGTAATGCAAATTATTCGATAAAGAAATCATCATTTTTGCTGTTCATCAATCGTAAGTAAAAAAAAATAATTTTTTTTAAAATTATGTAATTTTATTAATGACTGGTACCATAATATTATTCTTGTTTTTTTCTGTCACTGCTGTATGCTTTATCAATTTAAATGATTTAAACAGTTCTAATAACCTCATTTACCTTAAATTCTAAATATTTTTATTATAAATAAAATTGTCTTAGGAGAGCCCAGATAACCGATTTTAATATGGTAAATAAAATTATAAATAAAACCACATTTTTATTAATTATTTGCATTTTGGTTTTCAATAATCATAATAATACCTGAATTTTTATAATACAGGACATTTTTATTTTAGATAGACTTGTTGACTCATCTGCCATTCGGAAAGCTTTAGACACAGTGTATCAAGCATATTTACCTAAAGGATCACACCCTTTTATTTATCTAAGGTAACACATTAATGAAGTGTCAGTATATATTCAGCTTTAACTGGACAGCTCTTAAATGATTTTTTTCAAAAAGCCTTCAGCTGAATATTATTTATCTTTTCAAAAGTTTAATGTTTTATTAGCTCATCTGAATTATACCATCACACATGTAACAGCTAAAAAATGACAATAATATATTGTTTCGTAATTTAGTATTAACATAAAGTTTGATATTGAAATGTCATGCGCTGAAGAGGGAGAGGAAGTGTGATTTTTGAACATGGTCAAGGAGGATGAAATTGAATTAATGAATGTGTTTGCGCTTACAAAGAAATATCTCATAGCATCGGACTATATATCGTCCAATTGAGTGTATTAAGAAGTAAGTGAAGTTAACAAGATGATGAAAATTATGTTTACTCCAATCTGGAGATTTATTTCTCATATTTGTGAAACGTATTGTGTAAATAAAATATAGTGATGCAACCATATCGAATTTACCTCATGCGTTCAATGATTATTGTAATAATTATTAGAAAGCACTAAATCACCACTAAGGTGCTGGATACACATATACAGATGTAAATGATAAGTAAATAAAGAAGAGCGTTCAACATTATACAATAACACAACACTATATTAAAGTCTTAATCTCTGAATGACTATTTTCAGTTTAGAAATTACGCCACAAAATGTTGATGTGAATGTCCACCCTACAAAACATGAAGTACATTTCCTGCATGAAGATGCAATTATTGCTTCTATTCAAACTGCAGTGGAAGCAAAACTCCTAGGTTCAAATTCATCCAGAACATTTTTTACACAGGTTAGTTTTCTATGATGATGTTTTTAACTTTATCACTGAAGATCATAGGGTGGGAACTAATTTGCATGAAAGGAGTGGGTATGTAGCCCGATTCTGGAAATGGGGATTTTATGAGATTTGGGGCAGGAAAAGCTATTGTTTACTGATAGGATGTTAGGAGCCTTATTTTGATGTTTGTACTTCTCCTCATCTACCTCTCGGTGAGACTTGATTGGCTGTGTGAGAGGTTTCATTAAGGATCTTTGATCCTCCCTCTGAAGACAGCAATTCTTTCTTCTAGGTTAGCTAATGCCAGGTGATGCTTGAGCAGGTCATTGTAATGCTTTCTAGGAGCTCCTATTTTACACTTTATATTTTTATATAATTTATTTAAATTTCAGTAAAATAGCATAAAAGAAATTCTTTATTAGATTAATTTGAAAATTTAATGGTTATTAATTTTATTTCCAAGGCAATGTTGCCAGGGCCAGCTCCTGATGAACAAAAAAGTAAACAAGATAATGCTAATGGTAGGAAGCCAACCTATTCTCATCATGTCCCATAGCCTGAATAACTGATGCAACTTAAATTTTTTAAAAGTGTGCTTTAAACTAAAATATTTGCATCTATCATGATTTTAAAAATAATTTTCTCTGTATTTAATATAATTAGAAGAAATAATTTTTCAACAGATGCAAAAACAGTTAGAGCACAAGAAATGGTACGGACTGATAACAAAGAACAAAAACTTGATGCATTTCTGGGAAAGCCTGTGTCAAGTAACTCAACTAAAACTTCAGTCAATAAGTATGATTCAATGTTACTGTTTGTATCACTTATGTTGCCAACTTAGTTTTATTATAAGGCCTTTAACATAATCTTTTAAAAAATACTAAAGACAATAATGAATACAACTCTACAGAATGTAGTGCGGCTTATGCAACACTACATGAAAGGGCATTATAATTCTTAGAAAAAGTACTCCAATAACTTAATCAAGGTTTGAATACCTGAATCTCGATCTTGAATGTTAACAGTTTTTTTAAAAATTTAACTAAACTGCATATTTTATTCAAATGCAGGCAGGATGAAGAGCCTACCCCAGATTCATCATCTGTAAAAAACAATGACCAAATCACCCAGCCCAAAGTAAAAAGAAGAGAAATACATTTGAATAGTGTTTTGCAGTTACGACAGAATGTTAAAGATAATGCCAGCGACAGTAAGCCATCGTAACTTGCTTACAATGATTTCTGTAATAAATATGTTGAAATAAAAGTTCAAATAAGTTACTTGTAAATAAATCTGATTAAAATTCAATTAAATCATCTTCTTTTTTACTTATAAGGTATGCGTGATATCCTTCAAAATCATTCCTTTGTTGGGTGTGTTAGTGAAAGCCATGCATTGATACAACATAACACCAGGCTTTTCTTGGCTAACACAACAACCTTTAGGTAAGTAAAATTCTGGAGATATTATTGTTTGTATATGTAGAAGAACAAAATTCTGCGACTAAGATATTAATGTTAAATAAAAATTAAGCTATTTGAATTACATTTAAATAAATATTTGAACAAAAACAAAACATTTTGCCTTTCAGCAAGTATCTCTTCTATCAGATAATGCTTCAAGATTTTGGTAACTTTGGAGTTCTTCGCTTGTCGGTAAACAGACTTTTTGTAAACCTTAAATGAAAATATTTGATTGAAAGACTTTGGGTTCACAATATCAATTCATTAACTATGCAACAATTTCACCTCCAGTTTTCAATTATGAAAGCACATTTGAGATTGCTGATATTTTTTCTGATATTGTAAAATCATTTAACTAGTCCACTTCTATTGTTCATTAAGCAGTTGTTACTGGTTCGTAAGTACAGAAAGTTTAGACCTATTTTGCTTTTATCAATTGTGTGTTTTATTAAGGCTACACTAGTAGTTTTCACATGAAAATCAAATGACTGATGTAAGTACATGCAAAGTACTGAGTTAATTTATTCATAACCATTTTAATCACTACATTTTTATGAATATGGTTTTATACCCAGTTTTATTTAACTTATTAGCATTGCCAGACTGGGTCAATCTGTCAAATGTTGTGCTGCACTGACACTTTTTAGCAAACTTTCCAGTATATGAGAGCGTTGAAATACTGCTGAAAACATATCTTGTGTAACATTTTCATAATTAATTTTTTAGCACTAATCAGCATATTTGAAATCATTATTACCATCTTTCCATAGTGAGGTAGGAAGACGCCTGTGTGCACCTTTTATCAGTAGATCAGATCCATTAAAATAAGGGCAGTAACTCTAAATATCTAATCATATAATCACCAAGTATATGGGAATCATGCTAATAATGTGACTTTCATGGGTTTGATTCCCCTTCTGGTGGATTTTATTTTTCAAATTAGTGACATTTGCCTACTAATACAAATAGGAGTGGGCCAACTAAAATTGACTTGGTCAGTAAAATTTCTTGGACAATTTCAGCATCTATTAAAGTCTTCGTACATACTTCAAACTATAAAATAAAAGCATGTACCCAAATGTTTTAGTTTAGTACACACTACAAACTATAAAAACATGTACCCAAATGTTTTAGTACATACTACAAACTATAAAAGGATGCATCCAAAAAAACAAAGTTGAAGTTGATATTGAAAACACATTGCCTTTTGCAATACTGAAATTTAATTTTTGCAGTTTTTTCATTTTTACACTACATGCCTAAAATTATCATTGGTTTGAAAAGTCATTAGTCTAAAATTGAAACAATTTAATATGATCACTAGATAATGTAATAAATAACAAGATTGAGTACTGGATCTTAAACTTTTTTTCTCCATATTTCATTTTTTTCTCATTGATATTTGTTACAAAGAATGGTTACTGAGACTGAAATGGTAACATTAGTTAACTGAAAGGAGGGGTGGGTTACCACACACCTCAGGAAAACTATAAGACTCATGTAGACTTTCAGGATATAATTGACAGCCTACCTCTTTTCAGTTTCCTGGGCTATAATGGCTTTTTCACTTAATTAATTCAAACTACCATACAACTAAATGTCACTTAATGGTTATGTCTACATTATCACATGTAGAGGAGATCTAGTTATGAATAATTGTGTTAAGCTGTTTTGTATATTCTGCCAAAATAAATTAGCTCATAAAAAGCACTAGTCTCCCCTTAAGTGAGACATTTGTCACAATACTTCCATTAAACATTCATTTTTTTTCCTTATTTATTATCTCAAAATTAATACAAATGAACATGCAACTTTTTTTTTAAATTCTGGGAATTAATTATGAAAAAAGTTTTGATAATATTAATAAAGTGTATGGAAAATTATTTTTTACCTATTATGGAAAAGCATTTGACAACTAATTTTTATTTATTAACTTAAGGAACCAGCTCCTATTAAGGCATTAATTCTTCTGGCTTTGGACAGTCCAGCCTCAGGGTGGACTCCTTCACATGGTCCTAAAGAGGAGAATGCAGACTATGTAGTGACATTCCTTACATCTAAAGCAGCAATGCTACAGGATTACTTTAGTCTTGAGATTGAGGTATGTTGCTTAAAAAAACAGACTTGAATTTTGGTTACATTAAAAAGCAAGTTTTTAGTGATTATTTGAGAGCTAATAGTAAAAAGTGCCAACTTTTTTTTTTGTTGAGATGCTATGTGCTCTATTGTGTGAAATTTCAAATTATGTTATAACAGCTTATTTTATTTTAGTAATTCCTATGGTTTTTAACAAGTTGATCACCTTTAATTACTGAGAAAATGGCATTGTTTATCTGGTAGCACTACCAATTGTTTCATAAAATTTTTATTTTATATTTTTAATTATAAATACAGGGTAACTATATATTTCAAAACAAATGCTTAAAATATATTACATTGATATAAAATTAAAATTATCTGCCATCTGAGCAAATTTTTTAAAATGTCTTTTTCAAAGAATGGAAATTTGCTGACTCTACCAATGTTGTTAGAGAACTACATCCCACCGTTTGATGAATTGCCATTTTACATCCTTCGTCTGGCTACTGAGGTGTGTATTTTGTAATAGGTAGCTGGTCTCTAAAATTTAATTATTGACCCTAAAAGAAATTTTTCTAAAGCTCCAACTCATTACGCCACATAGGTAATCTTTTTCAATTATTAAATAATAAAAGAACCAAATTGCTTCTTTTTTCTGATATATTTTATATTTAAATTAAATATGTTTTCAATGTAATTCGATATACAGTGATCCCTTGACTATCCTCCTGGGGGTTAGGTTCTAGAACACACATATACCACACCCCCCCCCCCCCACACCCCAACAGACAAAAATCAGCAAAGCAGTGATCTTATATTAAATTTTTTTATATATATATTTTAAGAAGTCTTTATAAACCCTCCCTTTTAAATTAAATATGTTTTCAATATAATTCGATATACAGTGATCCCTTGACTATCCTCCTGGGGGTTAGGTTCTAGAACACACATATACCACACCCCCCCCCCCCACACCCCAACAGACAAAAATCAGCAAAGCAGTGATCTTATATTAAATTTTTTTATATATATATTTTAAGAAGTCTTTATAAACCCTCCCCACACTCTTAAAGACCTTGTCAATTTACCCACTCTGTACCACTTTGAGTTTCTGTGTAGGATTCTCTCCCCTGTGTTTATTCATGGAGCATTAGATTTTTAATATTAATATGCAGACATTTTTTCGATTGATGGCTTTTTTAATGAATATTTCATTGGGTGGTTAATTATAATATTTAAAAAACAAGATTAAGGTACCGAGGCTATTTTGTCTGCATTTTAGGGAACCTGTAATAAAGTGTATTCAATGAAATTGTAAGATTGTTTTTCATTATTTGAACATTTAATCTAGACTTTTAATCATTTTATTCAAAATAACGATTTTCTCAGTACAGCACTGTGTAACTGTAGCACATGAACACATGGTTTTAGTATTTACGTTTAAAGATTTACTCTCAAGCTAGGGGGGACTAAATTTAGGGGTAAAATTATGCTCAAGTTAGAGGGTATTAACCTTTTTAACACTCTTTTTAAACACTTTCTTCACTTATGTAATTTTAACAACACATAAAATTTTATTTGGGTACTCTTCAGTGAATATACTGAACCTTGAATGATGAAGCTGATAATGAATTAATAATCTTTTAATATGGTTTAATTGTTATGTTATATGTTTTTAATATTGTTTTCAATTTTCTAAGCCAAAACATAATTATTTTACAGCAAAAACACACCAAAAAACCCATATATATATATACACTATATTCCCGCTACATTGTGAAAAATCAGCAAGACAAATTTAGATTTATTCAAGGAAAAATGCACTCTGCAGTGAGTAAGTGAAAGACAAGGGATCACTGTAATCTGCATCCTAAGACAATCATTAGTATCATTTCTACAGCTTTTCTTCATCTCTATTAAACATAGGTGAACTGGGATTCAGAAAAGGAATGTTTTCATACCTTTTGTGAAGAAACTGCTCAGTTTTATGCTATGAAGAAAAGCTGCCTAAAATCACCAGATGAGAACAACGAACTGGTAAGATTCCACTGGAACAAAATCTCATACAAAGTAAAATATTTAGATATGCATAGTCAAATAGTTTCAATGTAACCTATCTGTCTGCAACCAGTAAAAGCCAAAGGTTAGGAGAGAAAATTCATTGTTCAAACCTAAGTTCAGAAAAACCATACTGATCATAATTTTAATGATCTGCTAAACTCAGATATACCGAGTCATCTTGGTGCAGCAGATTATACTATTCACAGTGATTCACACACAAAAAAACAGCATATTTAACAAATAAGTAAGACTTAACCATAACACCAAATATCTATTTTTATTTTTAATTAAACTTTAGCAACCCCTAAAAACAAAGTTTTTTGTATAAATCCTTTCTAAAATTTCATATCGAGCAATGGGGTCGGGGTTGAAAATTTGACAAAACATGCATAGAAGTAACGCAATTTATAATATAAGAATCCAAATTAGTGCTTCCACAACAGCACATTTTTTTCATGCACCTGAACTATATTAATATTCTAAAGACCCACCTGAATTTATACCGCAGATTTATTTCACCAGCTATTTCAGAAAATGAAATATTACGCACTAAAGGCACTTGCAATAGTTTTTTATAAAGAATCTCATTAAGTGCAGTTATCTGGAATTTTATTTTGTGAAATCAGTTGTATATTTCCTTAATCTTCCCCATGAAAAACAGGAAAAAATGTTTTTGGGGGTTAGGGCTGAAAATTTGAAAGAATGTTTTATCATTGGCAACAAGTCCATGTGCCAAGTTTAAGTACAATAACTTAGATGGAAAGTGGGTCAATTAGCCATCCGAAGATTTTGCCTTCAACAAACAAAAGTGAAGTTAATATAAAGGATTGAAAAAGATTATTGTATTTATTCATAATGGAAATAGTTTTATTGTATTTATTCATAATGGATTTGCCATTCAACAGCTGTCAGGGGAAAACATGAAAGCCTGTCTTGGTGTCAATAGTTCAAGTAACTCAAATACTTCTGTATGTAATCTAATCATATAATGCACTGTTTCCAGGAAACCGAAGCTGATAAATCAAAAATTAAACATAACTGGACGTGGTCAGTGGAGCATGTGATTTACCCAGCAATTAGACAAATGCTCCTTCCACCTTCATGTACAGAAAATGACAGAACCATGATACAGTTGGCTAACTTACCAGACTTGTATAAAGTGTTTGAACGTTGTTAAAAAAAGTATGGTGTAATGTGTTGATGTAAGATAGTATTTCGTTTTCTGTTTTTTTTACTAAAAAATTTAACTAAAAAGTGTAATTATTTGTTATTAATTATTAGAATTTTTGTGTGCACAAATCTAAACAATTGACTTACAATAATCTTGTGAAACTAAAAATACCATTTCAAATACGGAATATGCTGTTTAAACTTTTTGATCCTTACAATATTAAATATTTTATAACATTTTGCCTTTTAAATAATTATTTCATTATCTAAATTATATATCTACGTCATTCAAATGTAGTATTTCAATATAGAGCATTATCTGCAGGAAACTGAATACTTTATATGAATGGTGCCAATGATTTTTTGAGTAGAATTCTATAAATTGAATAAACAATCTTAACCGACGAACTGTGACATGCATCATTCTGTGGTGTGGAGTTTTTCAGAGCGTTAAATGACATAGAATATTGACACAATACCCCTATAAGTGTATATTTTTAGAAAGGTAAATGGATGGGTATAAAGTTGGCCAAATTGCCCAATCCCGTAAAAAATTAATTTGCTGTGTCCTTGACCTTGCAGTTCTCAAGAAAAAAAAATCGACATAATGTCTTGCTTTCAAGTGCTCATAACATCATTAATTTTTATAGAGACACTTTAAAAAAAAATCTAAATGTTGTAGCCAATTCATTTATCTTTAAGAAAATGTAAAGTTTGCTAAGGTTTTGATTGAAATTAAACCTCTGAAAGCAATTTTAGTAATTATTTTAGGTCATTTATATAAGAAACTGGGACCACTGCTAAAACCAAGCACAAAATCTCAGGAAAAATAGTTATTATTGACTAGTAAACATTAAAAAGGAACTGTGGAACTGATTTGGGTTGTTTTATCTATAAAATTTATTAGTTATGAACTATAATAATCTGTAGCTTCTGTGACTAAAATTCAGTCAGTCCTTGCCCAACCTCCGGGCCTGGCTCGAAGTTTACCAGTAGCCTCAGTAGACCTACTTCAGTATCACTAAGATTAGAATAAAATTCACAAGAAGAATAATCTCAACTGATATCGCCATGGGGAATGTTAAAATCATCATCAGTATCACTTAAAACCTCTCCTAAAATGCTTTCAAACATATTTCTATTAGTTCTTGCACTGAAGGCCCAGCCATGGCTTCAACCATTTTAGCTTTTAAAAAAACAGCGATATAAAACTCCGATTAAAAATTATTTATTTTCAAGTTATCACGAAACACCTTGAACCGGAAGATAATTTAATTATTAATAAAAGGAAGTGGCTTTAATTCCGGCTAAATATTGGATTGGAAGTTGCTATCGGACCGTTTTTTTTAATCTGTCGATTTTTTTGGCCGCCACAGTACAGAACGAGAAAGTCTGATGATTTTTCCAGCCGACCACAGTTCGTGGGTTAAAAGAAAAGGTATATAGTTATTGGGACACCACAGACACATTTATTTATAGAGAAAATTAATTTACATCAAATTTAGAATATTATATATTTAATTTCTATGATAGAAAATCATTATCCATTGAAAAAAAATCACAAACCATATGAAATATCTTAACCTCAAAAAGAATATTAATTTTTTTTAAATATTGAGCATGCTTGAAGGATCTTTAAGATGGTTTGAAATGATCCTTCTCAGTTCTTAAAGCTCCCATAACTTTAATTGGATCAGTTTGTTTCACATGTTGCTGTACTGAAGCTTCTCTGTAAATGAAAAAAAAAGAATTACAGATTATAATTTACGTAGAAAAATGAAAATTGTCTAAACTTAATTCATTTTACTAAATGCGCCATTCAGGGGTTCTGACGAATTTGAGACTACCCGTGATTTCTATTTAAAAAAATTTTTTTTTTTTTTTTATCTTGCTTCACTTTCAATCTATGCTTGCTTTAGTGCAATGTATCTATATATATATATCTAGCATATCCGAGTTGCCAAAAATAGATTTTTTGGTCATTCCTCTTGATTTGTTCATCGTTCATGCTATATTTTTATTTAACCTTATTCATTTCTAGATGCATTTCTCCTAAATATCAATAATATTTAGCAGCTTAAAAAATATTTTACTTTTACAAAATGTAAAGCAATTGCAAAACTGAGTTAATTCACTTTTCAGGAATATACTTGTAACTAATATAAACTGAGTACAGAAATATCACTGTCTCCAGGATCTTTTTTATTTACTTTTTTTAATGAGATTACTTAATTATTTTAAAAAATTGAAAAATTAAGCAAATCAAGACTCTTGACAAATTTTTTAAGGAAATGGGGGGGATTTTTAGTAATGTTTTAATTTAGTTTTAATTTACTGTAGCGTATTTGTATGGTGAACGAACGGACAGGACATCAGCTTAATTACTTTCTTGGGGGGGGGGGGGGGGGGGAATCCTCGGGTTGAAAGTTATGGATGACTTCAAAATTAAAGGAAATCATTCCACGCTATATCTATGAAGAAGAACACTCACATTTTTATTATCTGGTACCATAGCAAAACTTTACCTACCTTACTCGCATAAAGGGATTGAATGAAAGCTCCTCTTTAATAGTTGAAGGAATAGTAGGTTCTCCATTTTGTCTTTGTTTCTGTAATGAAAAAAATTTGTTCTTTAGTAACAGTTGCTAGATAAATATTTATGCCAGAAAAATGGTACCATGTGTTCATCAAACATAAATATTTACTTCAATTACAATACCGGTATACACAATTTAAGGTTAATGCCCGTGATGCCAGATCTTAATGGTCTACAGAACAGAATCCTGTGGTTATTATTTTTGACATTGTAAACTTTAGAAGTATATGGGAGTAAAGATATTACATCCTTAAACTTAACAAGTTAAATGTTCATTGAACAATTTTTTTAAAAAGTATATGAACTGATAAACAGTATCTCTAGAATTAACTTACTATTGCCAGATTCAGCCTCTCAGTAATTCTTCTATTGTCAGGCTCAACACTCGCAGCAAACTTTAGATTGTTAACTGTGTATTCATGTCCACAGTAAACTCTCTATAAGAATAAATAAAATAAGGCTATCAACTAATATCAACTGTAAATATTAAAATTTTAAAGCTATAAGAAACAGCTAAACAAAAGAATACGGAATGGTTGAAAATCTACTAAGCAATTTCAGCTAGTTTTTGGAAGAAGAGCATAAGTCGATATTCACACTTTTTGAAGGTATTTCTGCTAACCTGTTCGTAGTTATATTTCATAAACAGCAGGCTACAAATAATAATACATTTATGAAGAAAAACACATACCGTCTCAGGTGGCAAAGAGCTCAGTATTTCTACCAAGGCTGAGTACATTTGATCTGGAGTGCCCTCAAAAAATTTGCCACATCCAGCTACAAATAGGGTGTCACCTAATTTTAGACAATTTAAAATATATCCCTTTGCATTGATTTTTATAAAGTAGCTGACAGATTATCAAAATTTGCGTTTTTTTTACTACCAGTAAGAATAAATAAGCATATACATTATTATTATCATGACTTTAATGAAAGCATAATGTTGAATTTAATAATCTAAAATATTGCTAAATGTAATCTATTAAAAACAATAGATTAAAAATAAAAAAAGGTCAGAAAAACAATGAAATATCAATTAATTAATGAAAGCTTTTACTATACTACAACCATATCAAACCTGTAAACACTGCTGGTTCTGATCCAGATGGTCCTGTCACATAATAACATATGTGACCAGAAGTGTGACAAGGTGTAAACAGACATTTTACATTCAAGTTACCAATCTACAGGATGGAACAATTATTTGATTGTAATTATTAAGCTTTTTTTTTTTTTTCCACAATAAATTAATAGAACTGCAAACAGGGTCAAAGCCATTTAAATTTGACACTCTAAACAATTAATTTTCTTAAATTAGACTTGGGGAATGAATACTCAGTCTATTTTGATCTTTAATAGAGAAATATGTAAATTTTATTCCCCCCCCCCCTCCAAAAAGCAGTCAATTATCAATAAATGTTAATTCTAATAGCATTTTTTTCCACTAATCAAAGAACGCTATCAATCACAAATTATACTACTCAAGAAAACCATCAAACACTTACAATTTATACTACTCAAACAAGAATGCCATCAAACACAACTTACACTACTGGTACTCAAACTAAAGTAATGAAAAGATTACCTTGAGTTCATCTCCATGAGTTACCTTCCTGTTCAGGGCGCCGATTCTGGAATCACCACCAACTACTTCTTTTTTTCCTACAGCTTTAATTAACTGTTCATTTCCACCTGCATGATCCCTGTTCAAAAAAGTATCAATAATACATTAAGCCTTCCACTTGAAGAACAAGTTAAACATAAAAAAGATGGTCAGCAAAAGACAAAAAATATTTTTAAAAAATAGAATTTCTATCAAAGATAGTTTAAACCACTAAAAAGTAGAAAATAATTTTAAATTTCTTAAAATGTATTATGTAAATAAAAATATTTTGTATTTGCTACTTTTTAATCTGTATATTGACCAAATTATTTATTTGTATTTACTTTTTTTTTAAATCTCCAAAATCCTACAGCTGCCATATGAGCTCCCCTACCCACCCTTCTCCTGCCATTCACTGAAAGAAGCAGATACTATTTTGACACAACTCATCAGCCTCACACAACTCATCAGCCTCACGCATCTGAGCAATTGAGCGATAGGTAACAAAACAATTAGGATTGACAGCAATGCGAGTAGAAAGAAAGTCTTTAAAAACATTAATTCCTTACTTTGTCATTGCCGTTTTTATTTTTTAATTTATATTTGGTCAAACTGTTTTTAAAATTATTTTTGTTTCTGCAGAGTACAATTGAATAAAATCTGTAAGAAATTAATTTAAGGTCTGAGAATGTTGACTATCCATGTTCAGTGACTGATTACATAACTTAGAAGAAAAAATATCCGCCAAAATAGTGTGAATTGTACCAGTTGAGTAACAGAAAGATGTATGAATTTGTATAAACAGTGTATCTGTACATAAAAGTGGTTATTGGTAGTAGAGACCGACCGAAAGTGATTTTCTGACAAAACCGAAAAAAGGCAGAAAGTTAAAAATGAATTTCGGCCGAAACCGAAATGTTAAGATATTTTGAAATTCGTTCCTGCATACATTCTGCATGCATTGAAAATGATGTGGGAAAGTAAAAATATTTACATTCTTTTTATAAAAATTAGATAATCGTGAGTATTAATAAAGAAAGATCTAATAAAGGGGTCTGAAACTCGTGGCCCGTGAGCCATTTGTGACCCGCAAGACGATATTTTGCGGCCCGCTACATGACAGAAAAGTTTAGTGTAAATGCGCCGGCCCGTTTCCCCCATTCTCATATCTATAACGTGACTCTCTGCGACGGTTTAAGTCGGATCTCACCGACTAGTCTAATTCTGATTCTTTTTTTTTTGTGTTTCTATATATTTTTGTATGCAAAAGTGAGTAGGTGGATGAAAGTGAATCCTAGTTCTTGAGAACCCTTGATGATTTTATTGTTATTTATTAAGGTTGAGCAGATTGTAACAGTTGTAATCGCTTTTTTGTGGATTACTTGTTGCGGCCCACTCTCATTCAGACACTACCTCTCCCCGCACCTCCCTCCCCCCCCTTGATAATTTGAGTTTGAGACCCTTGATCTAATGAATACTTTGGATTTTACCATTTTAATATAAAAGTAATTTAAATTGCTTTACAATCTTTAAAAATTAATATGTTATGAGAAAATTTGGAAAAAATTTGGGGGGGGGGGGGGGGGGGATTAATGCAAAATATTATTTTTTTAAACCCGGTCTCTAAAGATTGTGGTTCTAAAAGATTGCTTAATTTGTTTTTAAAGATCGTTTAGTTGGTTGTTATTGATCGGTTAGTTTGTTCTTAAAGATCGGTGAGTTTTTTCATAAAGCTCGCTTAGTTTGTTCTAAAATATCGCTAAGTTTATCTTAAAGATCGCTTAATTTGTTCTTAAAGATCGCTTAGTTTGTTGTTAAAGACTGTTTAGTTTGTTGTTAAAGATCGCTTAGTTTATTGTTAAAGATCGTTAAGTTTGTTGTTAAAGATCGCTTAATTTGTTGTTAAAGATCGTCCAGTTTTTGTTTATGATCGCTTTATTTTTTCTTAAAGATCGGTTAGTTTGTTCATAAAGATTGCTTTGTTTGTTGTTAAAATCGCTTATTTTCATAAAGATCGCTAAGTTTGTTGTTAAAGATCGTCCAGTTTTTGTTAATGATCGCTTTATTTGTTCTTAAAGATCGTTTAGTTTGTTATTAAAAATCGCTTAGATAGTTCTTAAAGATTGCTTAGTTTGTTTTAAAGGTCGTTTAGTTTGTTCACAAAGGTCGTTTAGTTTGTTGTTAAATACCGTTTAATTTGTTCTCAAGAATCGATTAATTTCTTCTTAAATGTCGCTTAGTTTGTTGTTAAATATCGCTTTCGCTGAGTATTAAATGACCGAAAACCTGAGTTACTTTCGGCCGAAACCGAAGAAAAACAGAAAGTCAACTTTTCTCTTTCGGCTGAAACCGAAATTAAGCCAAAAGTTAAATTTTCAGTTTCGGCCAAAACCGAAACTTGGCCGAAAGGGATAAAATGGCCACAATCATAGGCTAGACACCAGACACAATTTTTTAATTTAATTTTATCAACATACATAAGATTTTTAATTTTAAGGAATTATTTTTAAATTAAAAATGAAGATACATGATAACATAGTGAGAAAAAAAATATAACAAAGATGTTTTAACATGACTTTGTATTTACATTACAATTCGATCAAAATAACTAGCTATAGAGATATCACATAAAATACAATGCATGTTTCATTTATCTTTTTAATAGCAGAAGTTAACTGTATTTACCTGGGTGATAGGGCAAGGATCAATCTGCATGCTGTTACAATATCTCGGAGACCCTTGTTTGGGTGTTTTATTTCTTCTAACATTCCCATTTGGAAAACAAGAATATGTAGTACCATTAACTTTAGGCCCTACTATTCTTTAAAATGAAAATTTCAAGAATCTTTGCAGTTCAGGGCACACTTTGGGTTTGTGGGACAACCCATTGTTACTGCTTTAGTTAAAAATGATCAGCTTATGATTATGTTTAAAAAAAAAATGATGTGAAATTTGAATTTCTATAAAATTTTACCAATGATGATGTGTAGTGAGAACAGTTGTCAGATTTAGTCCATCTTGCCGAATAGCTTCTTCAACCTGAATTTCAATTTTAAATTGAAAAAAAAAGGCCCATTAAATATTTCAAAGTCAGTCTTAATTGATTTTTAAGTTTTGTTTTAAAGAAATGATCTGCTACACACTTACCTTATTACATATATACATTTTATTGTTATGTTTTAAAAAGTCCTCTAAAACAATACTTACTGCCGAATGCAAAAAAAAATTGAGCAAGTATGTAATTCTTTAAATGAATATTATAATGGTCACATATAACTTTTTGGTTAAAAAAAATCTTCAGTGGTTGAATAATATTAATAGATATACATAATTTGAAAATGCAAAACAAAATGGTTAACCTTGTCTGGCTCAACAGGATCAACAACAGCACACTGGTTGGATGTCTCATCAATGATGAGGTACATATAATTGTCCTCAAGGGCTGGTAATAGTTTTACTTTCATTTTGGTGTGGCAGATAATTTTAGGCGTTGATGAAATCTTGCAGAATCCCAGAGTAACTTGTATCACTATAAATTATAAAATATAGATACCGGCACTTTAAATCTTAAAAGGAATATCTTGGAATTTTATAGATTTATGCTAAAGAAAAGACAAACTGACACCCAGTAGCAGAAACAGACGTAATAGCACAGTTACATTTTGCGGTGTGATATTAACAGACAGCTTATGGTTAACAAGTCCAGACATTGAAACTGGGAAAATATGCTTAGCACACACACAAATAATATATATGTGTTAAAAAAAAATACAGTACAGGATTTTTTTTAATAGAGTTTTTGGTAGTCTATGCATAGTGAGGAAGTGGCTTGTATGGATAAACATCATCAGATAAATTATCAAATGCCTAAGATTCAGATTGAGGGAAAGCATAGGTCTAATTTAAGAGGACTTCAAATGTGAGTATGATTAGAGTAACCAGAGCTAATTGTGCATTAAGTGTGGTATGAGTATGAGTGTCAGTAGACCTATAGTTATAGCATAATGACTATACTTTACTCTAGGCTAGGGTGAGCAAATCATGAACTGGAAAAAAACGGGACACACCCAAAGAGTTGGGGGATACCCTCCAGCTAAAGAGGGATCCGGGGGCCTCCCGCCGGAATCTGTTGTTTGAAATATGCTTATTTTAACTGTTTGGAGGCCTAAAAATTTTTTTAAAAATTCACCTTCACTTTTGTAATTTAATTTAAACTCTAAGGCATGTCATAAACGTAAACCATAATTTTGCAGTGAATACTTATTTATTGATGCGTATTTTACAACATAATTCAACACAACAAATTAAATGCAGCCATCACCCAAGCCCACATCACTACTGGCACTGGCTACATAGCTAGCCAAAATATTACTTGAAGTTATATTATAAATTAGGAAGTTTTAGTGATTTGAAATGTGTTTGGTTTTAGAAACAGGACATTTGGGCATCCCGAGAGACTTTTTCGGGACACCGGGTACAATCGTGAAAAAACGGGACGTTTGGTCACCCTACTCTAGGCCCATATAATGAAAATAATAATCAGGCCCTAATAGCATAATAATGTACATAACATAAACTTAAAAATTAACCTTAAAGCCAGTATCAGTAACGACATAATTACTATTTTCAGAACAAGTATTTCTATGACTTAGTCTTATATGCTCTCAGGGTCCAAAAAAATGGAATGAAAATAAATTCAACTAATCCAGTAATAATAAAAAAACTTTAATGGCATTGAACGTAAAAAATCTATCCATTAGAAAAAAACTTCACATTCCTCATTAACAAAATGAACAACCTTCAAACTTATTTAAAGCTATGTGTGATTTATTTAGAAGTTAGAAAAGCCTTCCATGCCATACCATAAGAAAACACAGAAAATCAAAATAAAGTCCACACCAATAAAAAATAATTGTAAAAATAACTTTAAAAAAAAACTACTTCTAAGAATGATTTTAAAAAAAGCATTAAAAAGTAGAAAATAATTTAAAATATCTTAAAATGCATTTTGCAAAGAAAGACTTTAAAAGCAAATCTTTTTTTAATTAAATTTTCCATTTTCTACTTTTTAGTTTAGTCTCAGTGACTGAGAAAGCAAATAATTACTCATGCTAAAGGGATTACCCACAAATTGTTTTAGTTTTAGTAAATTATTTAACTTTAACAATCTAAGACTGAGATACATTTAAGTTTAAAATTATGATTAAGTGATTAAAAGAAGTGAATTCTGAATAATTTATAGGCCTAGCAGCCACTAGCCGACTAGCCTATTTATTATTTATGTCATTATGTCATGTGCCATAATTTAGTATTTTAATTTTTATGCAACCTAGTAACCTAGGGCAGGTAAGTAGGCACTTTGATTAAATTTCAAAACATTTTTAAAATATAAAAATACTACAGGTGTATAGAGCCTGGAGAATAGATTACAAAAACACCAAGATCAACTTTCTAGCTCAAGTGGTTCAAAAGTTATAAATTTTTTAGTAGGGACCTCAAAGGCACTTTTTTACTAATGGGATTTTCCTCCACATTTCGTGACCCTCATTTTGATTTTTTTTAAGGCCTATAACTTTATTATAAAATGATACAAAAATATAATATTTACAGGGAACATATTTTAATTAGAACACTTCTAAATAAAACCACAAAATATAAGTTAGTTTTTGTTAATATTCCGCAAAAATTATTTAAAAAATCTTTTATTATTTTCCTATTAAAAATATATAAAATATGCTGACTCGTCACTTATTTGTAATTAATTAATTAATTATGTATAAATATTTTTTTTCAATTTCCCAAAAATCATAATAATAATAAAACATTCTTAAGATATTAATTTCAAATTTTCTGTGGAATTGTTTAAAATTTATAAGTATATACTAATAATAAAGAGATTATTTGTTTCAATAAATTAAAATTGACTATTACACTTTTTATTTTACCATTTTCTATATACCGGTAATGTACTTTAGTCCCATACCATATGAATGTGTGAATATGACAAAAAATAGTAAGTCATTTATTTTAAGTTAGTAAAGTTGTTTCAAAGATCAACATTTTTTGTTAGAATCAACTCTGGCTGTTGATAGAATTTTTAATAAGTTCTAGTTATTTGCTTGAGGTAATTACAATGTTTTATTATTAAATTTTAGAATATCTCATGTAATTCTTGGATTATTGTGGCAGAAAGTGTGTTTTTTCTTTGAGAATACTGAGGATTATATAATAATTCTCTTTTGGAATAGCGTGATATGTGATTAAATATAGGATATTTCAATACCAAAGGTTAGTGAAATTTTTTTGTACATTTTTACTTAATTTATGCCTTAAGAATCACCATATATATCATTACATAGCGCAGCAGTCCTCCCGACACTGCTTTATGGATGTGAAACGTGGACTGTCTACCAGCGTCACGCCAAGAAACTGAATCATTTTCACACTACCTGCCTCAGGAAACTCCTCGACATCAGGTGGCAAGACAAAGTCCCCGACACCGAGGTCCTCGCTAGAGCGAACCTACCTAGTATCTTCACCACTCTGATGCAGTCTCAGCTCCGTTGGATGGGACACGTAGCCCGTATGGCAGACCACCGGCTCCCGAAACAAATATTCTTTGGAGAACTCACGATAGGCAAGCGCTCCCAAGGAGGCCAAAGAAAGCGTTACAAAGACTCACTGAAAGTGGCACTAAAGGCCTTCAGCATAAACCCTACTCAATGGATGCAGACAGCCCAGGACAGAGCCAGATGGAGAGCTGCTGTCAAGAAGGGGGCTAAATCCCATGAAGCTAAGAGAATAACCACAGCTGAGACACGCAGGTTTGTCCGAAAGAGCAACATTAGGTCATCACGTGAAGCAACTATTCTATGCCCACGGTGTGATAGATTATTCCGAGCAAGGATCGGTCTAACAAGCCACCTAAGAGCTCACCGTAATCCCAACCTCCCCCGCCCGCCCCTACCCGGATGATTCGATGGTCCTTGTCGACTTCGGCGGACGAACAACAACATATGAATAATGGGTCCTACAAATAATTCTTTTTTTTGGGGGGGGGGGGCGGAATAGGCCTACACTTATAATAGTAATACTATTCTAGGCCTCTATATATACATACAAACATATATATTATATATGTATATATAGTATATATATATATCCCTGAAATTCAAAGAAAGGATCCTTTCCACACAAAAAATATGAATGAGTAAAAATTGCGTTATTTTACCTTCAATTTTCAAAGTGAAGCCCCAAAATTTTTTTGGGGACTCAAGTGTCTAATCATAACACAACATGTCTACTCTAAGTTGTGGGCGGAAATAGAATTAACATGCTAGGCTATATATAGTTAAAAAGTCGTAAACAACGTGACTCTCGGTAAATTAAAAAGTGGAGGTCGCCATTTTGACAACGAAATCACGATACCCGGTTTTCGGCACTTCCCGGATCTTACCAAACTACCTATACTTAGTAATACTAATATTGTAATATTTATAATTAATAATAATTATACTTCAATGCGTCAGTCATTCATTAACCTGTTACTGTTAGCGTTATTATTTTATGGCCCATATTCTCATATTCATATTATTATTATTATTATGGCATATTAATTCTAATTCATCATTTTCATCATATTCAATATTATTCATATTATTATGTCATATCATATGGCTAAAAATTGTATGGAGCATTATAAATTAGATTAGGCTATGAAATATATACTATATTCTATATAGTTAGCTAAACTTCTATGGCATGGCCTATTTTATGCCTATGCCTATGTGACTATGCTATGTATGTCATGTACAGCTATGTATGTCATGTACAGCTACGCCAAGGCAATGCCCTACTGCCTACTGGCCCTAGGCCTAAATATTTATGGGCCTTATAATAACTTATATTAAATTACCTTTCCGTAAAAGACTCGAAACCACTTTACTGTTTGTCAGCATTGACCCGTCTACAGTTTCTTTAACTGTTTGTTTATGTTCAAGGCTGCGTCGAGGGCTGCTTATTGTTTTTTTTTCCCTCTTCTTTTTTTTTCTTTCTTTTTGCGGTGTGCAAAGGAATGATTCAGCTATTTAAAATATTTTTTGTTTTGTTTTGGCTAACAGTTTACAGCAGTAAAAAAAAAAGCTGATAGCTTAGGGTGGGAAGGGGGCAAGGTTGAGGATCAGAGTCAACAGAGTAGCTTTCTCTTTGACCTCGCCCACTTTTTTCAATTCCGAGCAGGGCTACCACACCTTGGGAAATTTCCCAAGGTCTTGGGAATTCACGACCCCCCTTGGTATCTGAAGAATAATTTTGAAAATCAGGCAAAACCTTGGGAAACTTAACGGGAAGATTTCGGTTTACATATTTCGAAAAATGTGAACAATATATGTGCTAAAATTGAATTGAAAATAAAGTAAAATTATTTCTTAAGTAACGAATGGTTTTACTTTTTGAAACCTTACATAAATAAATAAGAAATCTTCTGAACTTAAAGTTAATTTATTGAAGTATTTAATTTAATAGTGAAAAATAAATTCAATTTTCTCTGATTTTTACATTGAAGATTAACAAATAACATTCACGTCATGATGTCCCCGTGCGCCAGCCAGTTAGGGGCGCCAGCCAGTTAGGGGCGTCAAAATGTGCTTTGATATTATATTATTGGTAAAAATAATTGGTTTGAGAGTTGAAAAAAAGAAAAGGGGCGCTTTAAAATGGATATTATCCCCGGGCGCGAATCTTGTCCCCGGGCGCCAAACACCTTTGCTACGCCTCTGTGCACAGGACAGTCTCAACAGTAAATAAACTTTTAGTATTTCTTAAAATCTCAAAGGAAATCAATATAGACTATTAATATTATAATAGAATTTGTGGGGAGAAAAACGGTAGGCTCTGAAACTTTAACTTTAATTATTATTAGTATTAGGCATTAGGCTTAGACTACTATTAGAGGACATTTACATTGGCAACCATTATTGAAATTGAAAAACAGTACAATCAGTACAAGTACAAGCCAAAGAGTGAAGAGCCTGTGAGTGTGAGGTATGGATTCACCAAAACTGGAAAAATCAAAGAAAAAAATGTTAAATGGTATAATCAAAGTTTTATCTTAGAATGGCTTAAATATCCTGAATTCAAGGACAATGCAGATGCTAGCTTTTGCAAATATTGCAACTCCCCAATGAAAAATGCAAATCGGTCCACATTAATGAAACACAAACACTCGGTGAAACATAAAAATAATTTTAAAATTGCAAAGTCTACACATAACATAAGTCAGTTTATGAAAATAAAAAACAGTACAGAAGATGAACAAATAGCGAAGAGTGAGTTGTTTATTGCTGGATATTTTTCTGAGCATAACATACCTTTTATTCATGCTGACCATTTTCTTGAAATTTGTAAAAGGGCATTCCCTGATAGTCAAATAGCTTCAAAATTGGCAAAGAAAAAAAATCAAATTTGCTTATGTTATTCAAGATGGGATTGCTTTTGATGAAAAGTTGCAAATAACAGAAATATGCAAGAAACAGAAATTTTCTATAACAATAGATGAGAGCACTGACATTTCAGTCACTCAAATTTTGGCAGTTATTGTAAGATATTTTGATTCAGATAAACTGGATGTTGCTGACTCTCTTTTGGAATTGTTACTGTAGAAAATGTGACAGCTCAAGGACTATACAATGCAGTTAAATCTCTTCTGCAAGAAAAAAATATTCCTCTTAAAAATATTATTGGTTTTGGCAGTGATAACTGTTCCTCGATGATGGGTATAAAGAGTGGCTTCCAGAAGCTATTAAAGGATGATGTTCCATCAGTTTTCATAATGGGGTGTGTATGTCGCTCCTTTGCACTTTGTGGAAGTTATGCCTGTAAAGTGTTACCATTTATCTAGAAGCTTTCCCCAAAGATATAACATCGTATTTTTCTAGGAGTGGTAAACGACAAAGAGATTTCACAGATATTCAGGATGTAATTAAATTATCTAATCACAAAATACCAAAATTTGCACAAACAATTTGGTTATCAAGAGAAAAAGTAATATTATCAATTTAGAACAGTACGATGCTCTAGTTCTCTACTTCCAAAGTGAGTCTAAAATTGATAAAATTGATGGAGCAAAGAAAATTTATGACACCCTAATCAACTGTGGCACTAAGCATATGCTACTTTTCCTTCATTATATCCTGCAAAAATTGAACGCTCTTAACATAGAATTCCAGTCTGAACATTTTAGACTGCATCACTGTACTTGAATGTTTAAAAATTATCTGATATTGACCCAAAGAACAAGTCCAATTATAAAAACAAAGTGGATATTTATCTTGGTGGTAGGGCAACAGCTCAATTGATTCCTCAACATTTCCAAGATGATAATGCCACCAAAAGATTCAAAGGTGATTGTCTTAACTTCTTGGCAGAAAAAAAAGATTTCCTTTCAATGAAGATGGGGTTATATCAAAACTTCAGATACTGGATCCAAAGATAACAGATGATTATTTTATCTGTGTGTGCTGAGGCCAAGTAAACATTTTTGTCTGTTTATTTTTTAAAAAAAATATTAGCCTGTATTGTAAATTTTATTCATATAAAATCATATTTAATTTTCATCTATAAATAAGTATAGATATATACATATATTAGTTGAGTTAGCTAAAAAAAAGCTTTTCATAACAAAATTGATTGTGTAAGAGTATTCCCCAATTTTGGCACTTATTAAGTGATCTTAAGGATGGTCTAAATCAAGACAAATTTTCTATATTATGTAATTTCATAAAGCACTTGACAGATTTACCACATTCCTCCGCATGTGTAGAAAGAATCTTCTCACAGATTAATTGCATGAAAACAAAAATAACTAATTCTTTAAAAACAGACTCAGTTAGAGACAGACTCCTTGCAAAACAGCAGATAAATAGAGGTAGCATGACTTGTACTAACTGGATCCCAAAGGAAACTTTAACAAGAAGTCTTAGAGATGGGTCTGTTCACAAAAGATATAAGAAAAGACTTAGTATACAAAAAGAAAGAAATGAAACTCTCCACCTGTCTGCAGAGATTGAAGAAGAAGAAGAAAAAAAAATAAGAAAACTGCAAGAGGTTTTCGCGGGGAAAAAAGGAAGATGAGATCTCGTCACTCAGCTCCTGCAAAGATAGTGCGTCAAAAGACTGGTGATGCTACCCTTGGACTCATTACTATTGGGCGTCCACTGAAATACATGAGTTCATATGGGCCTGCTTTAACATTGCACAGGGATGCGATTCGTGATGCCTCTACGCCTGCATTTATTCCAATCACTACTGCCCTTCAATCTAATAGTAAAAATCTGAGGGACTTGGGCCTTCTGCAGCTACCTCCCACCGTCAGGGGTTGTCGTGCAGGCCACTTAATCACATATGGTACCCACAGTGTCTGGATTCTCCTTCCACCTCAACACCTGATCATGTGCATCAACCAACTTCTCCCCAGTATGCTCTCAAAGATTCAATGAGTGTAAATTGGCCTTTGGAGACGCAGCAGTCGACGCATATCCACGTGGTGACAGATGTGTTTGAACGCCTTCCTGTTCATCGGTCACTCGCCCAGGGTCGTCCCAAGCGCGTACCATGGGTCCCACTTGACTCTGGACGTATTCGGCACAGCAACGTCATTGTCATCAGCGGCCGCCAGAAGCTTAAAGACCAACTACGAGTGGGCCACTATAACTGCCAATCTGTGGGGCGAAGCCAACAAAGATAGTTGAGTTCGTAAAGGACGAATTTGTCGACGTGCTGTTCCTGACTGAGACTTGGTTGAGGTCAACAGGGGATGATGCCAAGTGCGTCAACCTCACACCACCAGGTTACAATATCAAGTCCTTTCCGCGTGCTACTTGAGGTGGCGTCCTCGCTGTCATTTATCGCAGCCACCTCCCGGTGACTTTCACCTCCACTTTCCCATTTCAGCACACCTCTCTGGAACTTGTTCAGTTCACCCTCATTACGCCCCACACTGTCCACATTTTCTGCTTGTACCGCCCTCCCCCCAGTAAGAAGAACAAGCGCCTAGACTCCACCTTCCTCTCTGAGCTACCTGACCTCCTCGACTACTGCAACCTGCTCCGTGGAATGATTGTGATCGTGGGCGACCTCAACGTTCACTATGACGTCCCTACTGATCACCTTACTAGCAAGGTACTCGACATCCTCACAAGGTTTAGCCTTGTCCAGGGTATTGAGCAGCCCACCTACTACCGTAGTGGCCACATCATCAACTGGGTAGTGTACAGTGATGACGACCAATTGGTGGACAGCTGTACTGTGAGTCATATGCTCTCCTCTGACCATGCAGCAGTGCTCACTACACTCAACGTAGTTCCCCCGCAGAACCCACCTGTCTACAGGACAGTGCGGGACATAAACGCTATAGACAGAGTGGCCTTCAAAGCCGACATGAAGACAATGCTTCAAGGGCTAGGTGCTGAGCTCAGCGCTCAGCATCTGGACGATGGCCTCCGCTCACTCTTGGACTAGCATGCCCCTCCCATGGCGCGACGTGTCCCGACTGGTCGCTCGTCGCCATGGTATGTGGGCAAAACTTGAGCGAAGACGCGCTGAAAGACGCTGGCTAAAGACCAGACTGAGTGTCGACAGACAGATCTTTTGGACAGCGAAGGAGGCGGTGGCAGAGATTGTACAGAAGGCAAGGGATGACTACTGGAGCTCAAAAGTCGAATCATGTGTATCAACCAAGGCGCTTTTCAGCGCTAGCAACCGTCTTCTTGGCAACGGCAAGAATTCCACCCTTCCTACCGACATTGCACCAGAGCAACTCCCTGACGCCTTTGCGAACTTGTTCATCACCAGGGTGCAAACGATCAGGGAGGAGCTAGACAGTGCAACCCCTACACCTTCCTCACCGTTCTCGGAGGACGTTAGTCAGACAGAATCATTTGATAGATTCCTGCCTGTGACTGAGGATGAGGTGAGGCGAGTCATCATCAGGTCTGCTCCCAAGTCTTGTGCCCTCGATCAATCCCCGTCCCACTGCTTGTAGAATGCCTGGACGTCCTCCTCCCAGCACTCACCTCCATCATAAATTCTTCTACTCTCTCTGGCATCTTCCCTCCCATTTTTAAACGGCCGATAGTCCTGCCAATCCTAAAGAAACCCTCACT